ATAACCTGCTACATGCCCAAATAAATCATATTATGGCTTATTGTGATCCCTGGTTTATATGACAAGCTAAAATAATGGAGTTTTCACAACACACTACACACCCTTCTAGCCTAGTTAGTGGTCTGCTTGCATTCAGTCACTACAAATCTAAGTGCCGTGCCTTGCCACATTTGTACAGAGAAGGATGAAGTGTGAGGTTTGACTTGAAAATGCAACTGATCCATAACAAAATTAAGTATCATATTATAAATATTCTATAGCCTTTAATATCTTTGTTTACTCTGCTTATAGGAATTATCTAAGAGCAGATGAGGAAAGATTATTTATTTATTTATTTAATTTCTACGTCCACCCCAAGAGTCTATCAAATGAAGCCAATATATTAATATTATCATTCTTATACTAAGAATGACTGCCACAGCTCCCATTATTTCCAGGGTAGGGAACAAGGATACTTTTCTATCTGGATCACTTTTAAACAACTCTAAGATGCCACCAGACAGCAATAAGTTACAATCAAAGGAAGGAAAGCTTAGCATAACTTAGCAATCGCTTCCTTGTTATATGAGGAACTAAACAAGTTGCCTAATGAGAAAACCATAAGGTAGTTCAACGAATGAATGTTGCCAGACCCACAGCTGCTGAGGTATGAAAATGCAAGAAACAAAACTCAAGATAGTTTTGTTTCCTTTCCCTGCCTATTAATTCAACCTGCAAATGCACCCTGAGAATTACTTAGGTCCCACTCCACAGAAGGAGAATTGGGGAACAGAACAAAAAATATCAAAGCAGCAACTGCCACCATTAATGGGGTTAGGAATGCTACTTTTTCTCAATTTCCAGCTCTACTTGAGGAAAAGCAGAGATTGCTGGCTCCTTAGGGCTGGAGATCTTGTAAGGATACCTTCTCCAATATAACATCCCCCAGACGTGTTTGGACTATAACTCCCAGAATTCGTAAGGAATTTCTGGAGAGTTCTGGGAATCCTAGCACATCAAGGGACTGCTGGGCTAGGGAGGGCTCTTTTATGAGTTGGAACTGGCAGTAATGAAAAATGCTTGAAAAAGGAGAGGAAGAAAGGTATGCAAATCCACATCTGAAGATTATCCCCTCCCATTCCATAGGATCATTCCTATCAACTATTCCACAAGAACACGTTTTTAAAAATAGATTATTTTATTTGTAATTATTGATGCTACTTGTACTCAACCTTGGTAGGGCTGCTATCTGGAAAGGCAGGATGTGATAAATTAAATGAAAATATTGTGCCTGGGAGGCCCACACACATTTGCACAGGTGTATTCATCTGAGCTGCATATTCAGCTTGCAAACAGAACATCAACAGAAGTGGATGTGAAGGATTTAAGACAGTCATTCTTGCCATTCTAAGTTAAACTGGAACAACAAATTGCTTCATATCTTCAGTAGGCCTTCTATTTCAAGGCAACTATCATGCTCAACACTAGGTCTACCAGGCTTTTGACCGGGAAAGAGCAAAGTTGGAATAAAGAAAAAAAAAGGCACATGAAAGGCCCCAGAAGAAGGCCATGTGAACTGCTTCTCACTTTCCAGTAGTTCTACAACATCCTCAGAGACCCATCATTTCCTCCTACATGGGGGCCTGTGATTCATGATTGCTTGGTTCACAAAATAGAATCATCTGAATTTGGAGTGACAGAAACATAGAAAGCAAGCCAGAATGGGGAACAAAGCACTTTGAGGTTAGTCCAAGTGGGGTGAGCATTGCAAATGCCTGAGAAAACAATGCATAGACTGAAAGGAGAACCCAACATAATATTCAATAATGGATGCAAGCTGTTAATTCTGAAAGAACTTTGTTTTGCAAGTGTTTATTAAGACAAGATGGAATGCTGGTTATCAGCTTGGCTGGCTTCTAAAAATGGTTGGACTAATTCATGGAAGTCCTGGGGATCCATGGCTCTTAGCCTTGATAGGAGTGGGACTGCCTCTGAAGGCCATCAGTGGGCTTCCTTGGGCAGTTGGCTGGCCACAACTGACTGCTGAACTAGATGAGCCAGGGCATTGCTTACGTTCTTAACAACAGTCTCATAACTTATCAATGTTTATAAAGATTCCACCTCATCTTTCAAACACCAAGATCAGCCTCCTGTCCTTTTCAATACCGCCACATGCACATATGTCTGAATTGCACACTTCCACTCCCCACAGCCTACATAAACAGATTCCTAAGGGCACAATAAAAGACAGCACAGGCAGCTTGAGAGCTCTCTCATTCCAAAATACAAGAGAATAGTATTAATTCCATTAAAAAAAAATGTGCTGCACAAAATGTGATAATAAAGCGCTTTGGCCTCAACATTTGTGCAACACACAAGGCTTGCCTCAGAAAAACAGCAGGCCTAAATCAAAAACCAAAGCTCAAGTATTTTACAATCCTTCCACAACCCAGTGTCTCATTAGAATAGCAAGAAGAAAAAAAAAAGTACCACCATATAAAGTTTTAAAAGCTAGCTACAAATGTGCCTGACAGTAAATATTCTAAACTTGCCCAATTTTGTAAGGAAGGATGCTATGACTCTACTACAGTCAAATGGGGTTAATTCAGGGCGCAAAAGAAAATGTCCCACTAGCAAAAAAGGCAGAAAAAGGAATTAGTCACAAAAGACTTTTAAAAATCCCATTCTGGAGAAAATAGCATAGCTATAGCTTCCATCGATTAAACCCTGAATACATTCAGTTGACACACCTCGAAAATCCCAAGGTACGGAATAGAAATTGACCTGAAAGTTAACGGGATGTTCTATTATCAGAGGAGTAGAAACAGCAGAAACTTCATTTCAGATAAGATCTGATTAAAACAACAACTCAAAGCAACATGTAGCAAAAACTGAAATAACATAATCTACAGTATTCCAGAATATGTGTTGGAGAGAGGATGATTACAATCAATTAGAGGAGAAACACAGAAATATGGGGAACAAGGAAATGTTGGGAGTAAAGTACGTTGAGGTTGGTCTTCATGCAGATGAGCATCACAAAGGCCCAAGAAGACAAGAAGTTCAAAAATGCAGGAAGAGAACTGAATTTAGGATCTTGTCAAGAAGCTACTTTAGCCAGGCATCTCCAAGAAGTCTGGCAGACCTATTACCAAAATGAACAGAAGAATTTGGGGGATGGAAATATAATCAACTGGACATTTTTTCATCTCCTGTTTTTCTCGCAAAGTTTATCTCCCTTTCAATACAAAGAGAAAATAAGATGTGCTAATTCAATTAGCTTTATGCAGAACGGTAAAAAAAATGAATCATGCACCACTGGCAATATCCAATTTAATCCCATATGTTGAATGGTTCCACTGGCCTTCAGTCAAGAGTCCTGGAAACCACAACAGACTTTAACTGCCGCCAAGGGGATGGTAGGCAACTGACCCAGTTTGTAGCCTTCATTCCTCTTGTAAAATGGAGAGAAATGAAATTCAGAGGCAGTAAAGATTTCAACAGTAAGGGGCACCCTATGTCTGAAATAGTTTACAATGACTGCTCCTTTCTGACCTCCCTTCCAACTGAGTTTAAATAACAAATTAATTAATGAGGAGCAGGTGGCAGCCAGGGTCAAGAGTGCCTTTGCACAGCTCCATCTTGTATGCCAACTGCAACCTTTCCTGTAATTTGTGCCTTGATTGGCCTACTGTGATGCGCTCTGTATGGGGTTGGCCTTAAAGGGCATTTGGTGGTAGAAGCTGTTCCAGATTGTACGGGTCCACCTCAAGGCACCAATATAACAGCTCTATTTTGGTTTCTGTGGTGGACCACCTTCCCCCAAATAACATTTGTCCCCCCTCCCCACTTAAGATAAAATAGGGCAGGATCTTTACAGGTCCTCTCGATTAGAGATTGCCATGTACAGGGACCACAGAAACAGGCCTCTTTGGTTGTTGTTCCCCTCATCTGGAATGGGATCCCCCCCAGATAGAAGGCCCTCTATTTCTTCAAGCACGGCTGCTGTGACTATTCCTCCAGATTTACTTTTAATTGGTTTTTTGGATAGGGGAATGTTTGATTCCTAGCATATCTGGATGTTTTATAATGTATGATCTTGGTTTTAACCCTTGATTGTTAAATATTTATTTTAACCCCACCTATGGATTTGCTCAGAGTCAGTTGACTGGAAGGGCCTATAAATTCTGCCAGTAGATAATTAAACAAATTTTTGGTAATTAAAGATGTTGCTGTAGCTCACCACTGAATGACCAATCTAGCTCAGTCTTTGCTTCGGTAACCAGCCACTGTGTCTTAATGAAAGGCACTCTCACCATTGCATGTCCCAAGGAGAAAATTGCAGCAATAAAATAGCCTGAACTGATAAAGGCAGATTTTATCCCACACTGCTTCGAAGTGATGTACTGACTTAGTCTTTTCCCCTTGAATACACAGGATATTATAGAACACGCTACCCAAAATTCAGAAATGAATAGCAAAAATTAGCAATATATTTATTAATTGTGATATTGCAAACCGATGCCTCACTAGATAGCAGGCACGCAAGACATAAAGTTGGTACAAGTCCCTCCTGTGTTACGTAGCACCAGCGTTCAGCCTGATGGCTTTGCTTTTTCTCCAGGAAGAGCCAATAATTCCAGCAACAGGGATAAACTGACTGGACTGGACCATCAAGTCTGTAATTCTGAGACACGGATAAAATATAGGAATGACGCATGTCTCTGATTCTTCATCCTCGCTCCTTGGGATCTGGTTAGAAACAGCATCAGCCGCTGAACACTCAGCACCAGGAAGGCACAAAGTGAAGCTACATCCTCCATCCTACCAAATTCAGCTGCTGTTAAAGGACCCTATCACGAAAGTCAAATAAAATGCATGGATTTGGAAGAGTCACGAATCAGGGGGGCCACACTGGACTCTCCGTCCCTCCCTCCCAAATACACAACAATCTGAAATGCAAGCCCAGCACGTATGCAATTTGGTTTTGGGTTTTTTTCCCCCCAAGCCTTTATCTTTACCCGCAAGAGGGGAGATCAAGCAGCTCCTTCCAGCAGACCAGGCCCAAAGGATGCGCCGCTCCGCAAAGGGCTGACGGAGGTTCCCGAGAATAACCGGGGGCCCTTCCGTGCAGAACCCAGCGGCCTCTCGAGCACCCCAACCCAGCGTCGGAAAGACAGACCCGGAGAGCGGGGAGGGGGCTTCCCGGCCCAGCAGCGTCCCCCCCAGCCTGGGGGTTGACCTCGGCCCGCCCGCGGCCCCTTCCA